CAAAACAAATGTGTTCTCATATAGTTCTATACTTTAGAAGTCTGACATGGGTCTCGCTGGACTAACATCAAGGTGTTAAGAGGGCTGTGTTCCTTTCTGAAGGATCTGGAAAGAATCTGCTTCCTTGCTTTTTCCAGCTTCTCAAGACTCCCCCTTCTTCCATCTTCAAAGCCAGCAATGTTACTTCTTTCTGTGCTTTTTGTCCATAGTCACATTTGCCTATGACTCTCCTCTTCTGCTTTCCTCTTCCACTTTTAAGAACCTTTGTGATTACATTGAACCCACCTTGTTAATCCAGGATAATCTTCTTATTTTAAAGTCAACTGATTAGTGAATTTAATTCCATCTGAACTTTAATTCTTATTGATTAGTGAATTTAATTCCATCTGAAATTTGATTCCCCTTTGCCGTCTAACCTGGTGGCAGACTGATAAGATCTCTGCTGCTAACAAAAGGCTGGCAGTTTGAATCCACCAGCTGCTCCTTGGAAACACTATGGGGCAGTTCTACTCTGTCCTATAGGGTCGCTATGAGTTGGAATCGACTCGATGGCAACCGGTTTGGTTTTGGTTTTGCCATCTAACAGACTCATATTCACAGGGGCTCTATAGGGTTGCTGTGAGTTGGAACTGATGGTTTTGCCATCTAACCAGTGGTGCCCAGGTAGCACAAAAAGTTTTTGCTGGACTACTGACCTAAATATTGCTGGTTCAAGCCTACCCAGAGGGGCCAGAAAAGAAATGCCTGGCGATCTGTTCCCATAAAGATTACAGCCAAAAAACCTCTATGGAGCAGCTCTATTCTGTAACACATGGGTTTGCCATGAGTTGGAATCTACTTGACAGCAACATAGATGGCTTGATTTGGTCATCTAACCTAAAAATCACAGTTTCTGGGAATTAGGACATGTACATCTCTAGGGGTGCCATCATTTTACCTACCATACAGAGCTTCATAGTTTGTAAATTATGATTGTCAAATTCACTACTCTTGATTAATTTTAATCTGCTAAATATATTAGTAATCTTAGATGTACTTAAGTGGCTTATTTTGTTGTTCTATTAATTTCTCTTTGATTCTTAGTCAGCATTTTTTCTTTACATATTTTAAGGCTGTATTATTTTGTGCATACATGTTGTGTGTTTCCATATATCCTGATGGCTTATAGCATCAGTTGAAGTGGAAGATACGCTTTGACTTCTGTCTCTTGTTTATTTTCTTCTTGTGCTCATCCTTCCAGTTACCTCAGCCTATCCTCCTAGGCACCTGTCCTCAACCAAAGTTCAGTGTGGTTGTTTGGAATCCTGGTTCTGGAATGATTTCATGGATATTGTGGATATTATAGATATAGTCTCTGAGACAGAGTTTCTGAGGGTAGAATGTGTTTATAACTTTTCACATCTCTAAGCAAGCAGCTTTCTATAAATTGGAACTCTGGAAAGTGGTTTGACAGCAAGTTTTTGGTTTGCGCATGTGCTCACATATGTTTACTCTGCATTCTTGATCAGGAACTCTGTCTCTCCTTCTTGGCTTCAAGCAGTGATGTCAGTTTTGTTCCCTCCTGCAAGAGCTAAACTTTCTAGACCATCACTTCTTTTTTCTAGATTTGGAACCCAGGAAATCTATGGATTTGCAGACCTTCAGCCTGGCCTGCAAGTATCACAATAATTTTGTAGGAGCCTAAGAGAGCCTGTGTGTCTATGTTTAGGGGAATTAAAAAAAAACAAACAAACATATAGTCATGTTATACAGTCACAGAATCTCCTAGAAGTAAGAGACCAAAAGAAGAATTGAATTTATTGAGCCATGGTGTGTTCAGAGCATTGCTGGAATATTTTAGTAGTTGATAACAGCAGGAAAGTCTAAAATAACATGTGAAAATGCTTTGTTCAAAAGGGTGCATAGTGATTTATGCAAGTTTTTTAAAATGCTAATGTGGCTAACGTTCAGAGAGTTACTAGGCGTTTAGTGCAGAAAAATTCTGATATAATAAATAGGGGTAACGCAACACTCTGGAATTATGGAAAAGTTTGCATGGTTACCCTAATAGCAATAAAAAAAAATTTTCAGCAGGGGAAGAACAATGTCTGGTTTGCACTTTTAGAAAGATAACTGTAGATGCAGTATAAATAGGAGAAGTGTAAGAGTAGATGTGGGGGAATTAATCAGCATGCAAGTACAGTTGCCTAAGAAGAAATTATGGGTGCTTGGAATAAAAGAATGATGAATAAAATGGAGAAAACACATAGTAATGAGGGCTAATTTAGAGATAAAATTGACAGTACCTGGGAGTTAGATTGGATATGGGTAAGAGAAGTTAGCACTTGTCATGTATGACTCCTAGAGATTGATTCTCTTATATGCGTGGCACTGTGCTAATAAGAACTGATGCACAAAGAAAAATAAGAACTCACACCTTCCACAAAGAAATCCAATGTCTAAAAGGGCCATGGACATTTAAATAAATTATTTCAAAGTAGGATGATAAATGCTAAAAAACAGAAGTGCAAGGACTCAACATGATCATTGAGAAGGGTTCTTTTGCCCAGCTGAGGATTTCAAGTAGAGTCCCTAAGCATAAGTCTTACTTGAATTTTGAAAAATATGCTAGAGTTAGAGAGAAATAAAATCAGAGGAAAATCACATTTTATTGTTTACTGGCTTTAAACAGCATAACATGGTCGAGAGAAATAGAATCTGTGATGGGAAGTGGTGAGAAATTTAGCTGGAGGGGTAAATAAGAGATCAAGTCATGGAAGACATATCACAATGGAGAATTGACATGATAGGCTGAGACAGACATAGGGAAATCAGAGAGCAGACAGAAGACTGTAAGCCTAGGACAGTTGTTCTCTACCCTGTGTACCTATTTGAATTACCTAGAAACATTTTTAAATTACGATAACTGAGTCCCACTTTAGACCAAATAAATCAGCCTGCCTTACTAATTCTTCCTGATTTACATTTCAACACATAGGTATTTACTTTAGCAGAATGTTAGCATACGTCCATATAAAGATTTGTACAAGAACGTTCATAATATACATGTGCTGTAATTCTCAGAGGCTTTAGAATATTCCTGGTATATTCGTAAAATAAAATACTAATCAGTAATAAAAAGGAACAAACCACTGATACACGAAGCAAAATGAATGAAGAACAAAAATGTTAAGCTAAGTTAAAGAAGCCTTGTGTAATGAAGTTTATACTGTATCGTCATAAGATGACCCAAAATAGGCAAAATTGAAGTTCCACTTCCAGTATTGTGGAGTTGATTCTATCAAAATACCCCTCCCATAGATAAGAACTAATTACTGTGGGGAGACGGGGAAATATCTGAAGGCGCTGTAAAGTAATAAAAAAAGCTTTGAAAGGGAATAAACACTTAATAAAAAGAGAGAATTGGGTGAGTTTCCTGGTTTTATGACTTTTCAACTAAAGGCAGAGCCTAGTCAGTACAAGGTGAGGCAGTTAAAACTTGGACAGAAACTCAGTGTTAATGACTAGAAAAGTAAGGAAAAAGAGTTCAAGCCTACCACATATACTGGAAGTGAAGGGGAACATCCAAAAAGGGATAGTGCCTTCTTCTAAATATAAATACTGTCCATCTTTCTGAAGTACATATATTTAAGGCCGACTCTGAACAACCCAACTAAATCTACCAGAACTGAACAGATATTTTAGCTTCTGCCCACTGCAGGGAAGACAAAATATGGAATTTGAGAATGGCCAAGTGAACTACCTGAGAGAAAAATCAAATTAATCACATTCAGAAAACTTTAACAGAATCCAGTAAACACATGCAAAGATGCTCAACATAACTGATCATCAGGAGAATTCAAATTAAAACCACACGTCTGTCAATTTGTCTTACTGTGGGGGCTTGTGTGTTGCTGTGATCCTAGAAACTATGCCATGGTATTCAAATACCAGCAGGGTCAACCATGGTGGACAGGTTTCGGCTGAGCTTCCAGACTAAGACAGACTAGAAGGAAGGATCCGGCAGTCTACTTCTGAAAAGAATTAGCAACAATAAAACGAACAATAACACACATAGTTTAATTATATATACTAGACTAAATGGGCATACCAACCCAAAAGCAAAGATGAGACGGCAGGAAGGGAAGGAAAACTGGACCAATGGAAATGGGGAACTAAAGGTCCAGAAGGGGAGAGTGTTGACACATTGTATCATTGGCAACCAATTTCACAAAACCCATGTGTATTAATTGTTTACTGGAAACTCATTTGCTCTGTAAACTTTCACCTAAAGCACCATAAAAAAAAAAAATTTGCTAAATCAAAAGGTAAAAAAAAAAAATTTGCATATAAATTTTTTAATGAAAAACTAATTTGCACTGTAAACTTTCACCTAAAATACAGTACAATTAAAAAATAAAATAAATAAGAAAACCTTATGGAGCACAGTTCTATTTTGACCCACATGGGGTTGCCATGAATCAGAACCGGCTTATGGCAACTGGGTTTTTTTAAATTTTAATCTCATAATATTATCATTGAGCATTGAAGCCCCCAACAATAAGTTTCCTAAAGGCAAGCAGGGACCTTGTCAATCTTGTTCCTTATTGTCCCAGATCTATTACAAGCTGTTGTATATTGGGAGTGATAGTTAAACAGACATGAAGGTATTTAGCTATAGTTACCGTATTATTGAATATTGAATTGAACCTACTGAGACACTCCTGCTTCTGTTTATTGTTGTTATAGAACATAATTTCTACGGTACATAATAATTCTGCTATTGTTCTGGTATTGCTAACATTTACATAAACTCTTCTGACAAATTTTAACCAACAAGTTTTCAAATCTTCTTTTTCTTCCTAAAGCTTCTACAGATAGTTTCCTTCATGCCTGGTGTTTAACCCATTTACACCACCACACTCTAACCACATTAATTCTTACTTTGCCCCAAGGATTTGTAAAATCAGACTTATTTGTAAAATATGACTAGCTGGCTATGAAGAAGATGAGAACAAATATTTTTACAATTATGTAATATTTTATTTTATAGTCAGACTTTTAAATCCATGATTACATAATCAAATTATTCTATTTCTTGAAACAAAGCAAAGGTAAAGGAAATTAATTTTTATTTTTTTAAAGTAAATTAATGTGTCTTCTTAAAATCATTTATTTCAAGTAAGAGAAAAGAAGCCAAGAAAAAAAATAGACACCAATCTGCATCAGTGCTTATGTGTTAGGAAATGGTAGAAGTTATTACAAACATTCTATTATTTAATTTCCACAATATCTCCATCAGGTAAGTTTTACTATTTTTATCTATTTTACAAATAAGAAACCCGATCCCAAAGAAAGTAGTTGATTTGATAAGGGCCACTAAGTGGCTACGTAATACAAAAAAAAAAAAAAAAAAAATGAAAACCAAACCCAGTGCTGTGGAGTCGATTCTGACTGATAGTGACCCCACAGGGTTTCCAAGGCTGTAAATCTCTACAGAAGCAGATTGCCATATCTTTCTCCCACGGACCCGCTGGTTAGCAGTCAAGTGCTTTAACCGTCAAGTGCTGTATCATAATTAAACAAAATTTGATCTGCTTTCAGAGTCCAGGATTTTAACCATCCAATTACAAAGTTCACACTCTAAAGTGAGGCAACGTTTTATTCATGTCAACTGCAATGGCATCCTGGTAATAAAGTGGCTTGGCCCTGCGTGGCGCGAGCAGTTTGCACTTGACTACTAACCTAAAGGTTGGTGGTTCAAATCCACCCAGCAGCTCCATGGAAGAAGGCCCCAGCGATCTGCTTCTGTAAAGGTTATAGCCAAGAAAACCCTATGGAGTAGTTATCCTCTGTATCACATGGGGTTGTCATGAGTCAGAATTGACACCACCGTAATGGGGTTTTTGTTGGTTAGTTTTTAATGAAGTGAGTTAACAAATCATTATCATGATTTGGTTATCTACTCCTGCGTCCTTTATGGCTTCATGATTTCAGCATGTCAGTCTACATCTTATGGCAGCTAAGATTTTCCCTAAGATGCTCCAGGTTCCTCCTGCAGATCAGCATCTCCTGGGCTCTCACTTCCGTCCCACATCCTTAGGAATCAGGCTGCTGCCTTCTCCCTGGAGGTGTGGTGCAGACAACATGGACCTGGTACTAACACTGCCTCTACCACTCATTATTAGCCTTGGGACCATGGGGAAAAGCTCAGTTTATAAACTCCTGCACGGGAGGAAAATATGGCAGTCTACTTTCATAAAGATTTATAGCCTTGGAAACTCTATGGGGTCACTGTGAGTCAGAATCGACTTGATGGCGGTGGGTTTGGTTTTGGTTTAGTTTAGCCTCCTGTTATAAATTTTCTTTCTTATACTTGTAAAAGTTACCTGGAATAATGTTTATGTATGTGCTAGGTTTATACTCATGATTATATATTATATATACCTATCTGTGTGTATATATGCATATATGTGCGTGTGCGTATATATATACAGTGAAATCTGTAAGAGCTGGAACTCGAAGGAATTGCCTTGTTTTTCCAGGTCTCACAAGTTTTCTGCCTTGACAGGATGCAGTCTTACTACTTTTCTATTGCTCGTTTTAGTGGAAAATATCTGCGTTTTCCTTCTCTGACAGAGATTCCGGCTCTTGCAAGCTTTACTATATGTCAACTCCAAGCCAGGTACTTTCATTTTCATCCAGAATGGCCAAGATACTACCCCTTTCTCTGCAATTGTGCAAATCCTGATGTGGGCTCTGTGCAGTTCTAGAGCCTGCCCTAGTTTATAATGCATACTTCTCTAAGAACAGTTTGCCTTTGCTATCCTAAGTAGGTCTATTCCTCATTCTGAGTTTAAAAGTGATAGAAAAGAATAAAAGTGCATGGGGTGCTAAATGGAGTGGTATACTCAAATGTTTCACCTCAAGGAAAAGGCCTAAGCAGCAAAAGGCTATCCCTCATAAGAACTGCTGAGCCTAATCAGGACCCAAACTATTGGACAGAGCATGGAAACTCATACTATCTGCAGCAGGGTTTTTCATTATAGGACCTGGAAAATTAGACTTCATAGAGCCGAATATTGTTCTCTTGAAGTGAAAATACTTGTTCCCCAGGACATTGGGACAGCTTACATTTTTTTCAGAATAATGAGAGCAAATGTTTATTCTTATAAACAAGACTCTTAGATAAGTGATTTACATTTAATAAAATTTAGCTTTCTTAAAGTGATCCTAATTATTAGGCATAATTCTTAATACAAAATTTTATTTTAGGAAAATGAGAACAAGAGATGTTAAGTAACTTACTCAAAGTTATTGTAAGTGGAGAGACCAGATTTGGACGTCGGCACCAAAAATCCACTCTTGGTAAACATATTATTTGTGTGCTTCCTATTTAATTCCCTGATGAATATGAAGCGTCACTGGTAAACCTCCACTCTCTGAAGCGTTCATTATTTAGTGACAGATGTACTGTCCTAGATAATATGAACAAAAGTTGACAGGTTTTGCTTTGTCAATTCTGTTAAGTGGCAGAGGGAATGAGGCAGAAAAGAGGTGGCAGAGAAATTAACAGAAATACTGCTCTTTCTATAGGAGGGATTAGATGTCTTTCTCTTAGAAATATGACAAATGAGCATTCTCTCCTAATGATATCAGGAACAAGATATTAGGAAGAATAAGATACAAGGCATCTTTACATGCTATGGAAGAGTAAAAGACATTCTATAGAAAAGAAAGGGAAAGAAAGGAAGAGACAGTCAGAATGCTGGAGATGAGCTCAGGTGCAGGAGCTGAGCCCCTGAACAAGACACTATGCAGAAGTGTGTGACGGAATAAGAAGGTTCAGGAGCTTGGTGGGCACAAGGTCATGGGGGCTGGGCACTTACAAGGATTGAAATATGGACAAACACACTGAGAAAAGCAACACTGAGAGAACTTGTAGATGAGTGACCCTTGGTTTGTGACATTAAAAAATGACACAGTGCCTGCCTCATAGTCTAGGAAAACCCCAATCCTACGAGGAGGCACAGCCATGAAGAGAGTCAAAACCTGGGGATTTGAGGTGGAAGAGTTCTCAAAGGCATTATATTCAAATTGATTCTGTAACCCTATAACCCAGTAGCCATATTGAGGTCTGTATCTGGAGAAAACATTTTGACTACTTACATTTAAGCCAAAAGCAAACACAGAAGCCCATCTTTCATGGGGGTCTTTTGCTCTACAGTATACCCCCAGGATCCAGGCTGTCTTCCTGGACACATCTACCTCCCAGTAATGTTTCCCTGAGGAGAAATATTGGCAGCCCAAGACATCAAAAGCAGAAAAATCATGCTGATCTGAATTTCTAAAGTTGGGAATGCGCAGAACTGCCACTTGTCTCTGATCCGCAGAAATGACAACATTCGAAGAAGTGTTGACTTGATTCAGTGTCACATCCACTGTAGGAAAAATTACAGCATCAGGTGAAAGACACGGGGTAGATGAGTCATGAGGAGGGATACTTGGAATTAACTGGGAGGAACTTGTGTTGGTGGCTCACAGAGAGGTAGAACACTTAAAAATGTATGTTTGGGGATATGCATGTGTGGGGAAGAACACATGGGGCTCAGATCATGGTACCTAATTGTAACCACAACTTCTCAAAGGGGATAAGAACATGGTGATTTGAAGACCCTGTAACTTCTTACCCCAGTAGCACTGGACATCTGTCAGCTCTGAAATGACAAAAGTTTCAATGATGTTGATTAGAAGCACAGGAGTTGGTGCTGATACCTATTTCCTGTCTAGAGTAGGGCAAAGGAGGGGAGTAATGTGAGGCTGGGAACTGGTGAATGAGAGGATGAATCAGTCACCTGGCCATTCACCCTTTGATATGACCACATCTTCTTCGGTATAGGATTTACCTCCTTCTCTAGCCTTCTTCCCCTCCTCTATCCTCTCCTAGAAACTGTACTCTTTCCCCCATGTAGCCCCTGACATCACAAAAATCCCACACTAAACCTTTACCCCAGTTCTCCTCACCTCTAAATACTTGCAGAATTTCCTTCAGATCTGGCACTCGGCACACATTCTTCAGTTTCTTGGAAACAATTGTTGGCTTCTTCAGGGTCCAGCTCTCACTCCTAGGGATGACAAAAATCAATCCCCAACTCCTCTGACTTTGTGTCTCTGCAGCACCACTGCCTCCCTCACTTTTCACCCTACCGATGCACTTTAACCATTTTCCCTGAGGAGCCAGAGAAAGGGAAAGGGGAGACTACTGACACTAGAGCCAAAAGACTTGTGCTCATGTCTACCCTCCCACTTACCCTCTGTGTGACCGTGGGAAGGTCTTCACTTCAAAGAAGCTCACTTTCCTTCTTCTAAAGTGGAACAACTAACCCCCTACTCCCTACCTCTTAAAAATAGTATAAAATTAGGTGAAATAATAGTGTCTGTAAAAGGTATTTGATGCCTCTAAAAAAGTTATAGGATATGCGCGAAAGAGGTTGCCATTTCAGTAGGCCCACCAGGGAGAGTCCAGAGATGTGGGTCCCCAGGCAGATGGTCAGTAGGGAGGCTAAAGAATCTGGCTACAGGGAAGTTGAGAAATATCAAGTTTGAGGTTCCTATATTGAAAGGCTCATGGGTCTCCAGAGCCTGTTACTCCAACAGGGAGGCCCAGAGAATAACATCTGATGTTTCAAATTCTCTGAGGAACAATTGCAAACATTTGGGAAAGGAGAAATTATGACCACCAAGTTAATTGTTGTTGTTAGTTGCCAGTGAGTTGGCTCCAATTCATAGTGACCCCGTGCACAATGAAACAAAACCCTGCCTGGTGCTGCACCATCCCCATGATTGGTTGCAGATCAGACCATTGTGATCCATAGGGTTTTCATCGACTGAGTTTTGGGATTAGACTACTAGGCCTTTCTTCCTAGTCTGTCTTAGTCTGAAAGCTCCTCTGAAACCTGCCCAGCATCATAGCAACATGCACGCCTCCACTGACAGACAAGTGGTGGCTGCACATAAGGTTCATTGGTCGGGCATCAAACCCAGGGATCACAAATGGGAGGAAAGAATTCTACCATTGAACCATCAATGCCTCATCTCTGAATTTCATGTTTTTGGGAAAACCTTGATATTGGTCAGGTAGGTGAGCAACTTTAGACACAAGAATATCATTTTTCTTATGAGATGCTTAAGTGTGTGAATAAGAAATTATTAATTATTGGCACCAGTGCCAAAGCCACTATTCCCCAAGACTTTAGTGTATTTTCTGAAATCTAAAGAAAACACCTAGAAAGACTTCCTTTCTTCCATCCTCAGAGATATAATAGTCCTTTTGGACAATTTGGGGCCCTGGCAGATAAAGAGGACAGAACCCTTCTTGTGATAAGACAAGCACCTATGAAATATGGAAACCAGAGGTGAGAAGAGATAGAGATGTGAGTGAAATCAGTGTAGTGATGGGGCTCTGATAAAGCAAACTCTTATCCCGAACATCCCTCTTGGACCTAACTCTGTGACCTCCATCACCCAAAATTCCTACCGTCGGAAATCCTCATCTGTGATCAGGAATTTGAGACAATGCAGTACTCAAATTTTCTAGCCCTGTGATTTTATTTTATTTTTTTAATTCTAATTGATCCCAAGGTAGATCTCATGGCTACAATCCTCTCTTCACACAAAAAGGATCATCCCTGGTCTCCCACACATACCTTTTCACGATGTCAATCACATCCTGGGGAGAAGAGGGAAAACATGAATCAAAGATAGGTTTGCAATATTCTGCAAATAAAATACCAAATGACTAGTTAAATTTGAATTTTAGTTAAAGAACAATTTTTTTTTTTTTAAGTGTGAGTATGATCCCTGGAGTCAGAGATGATTCAGTGGCAACTAACAACAACAACACGACCCCTGCGATATTTAAGATACCATTGTGCTGAAAAAGTATGTGTTGTTGAATTTGAAATTCAAATTTAACTGTGCACCCTTTATCTGGCAACCCTAGATGGAGTGAAAGGCACTCCATCTTACAATGTTTTATCCACCTTCTTCATCAAACATCCACCACCCCTTGATATGGTGGGAACAGATAGATGGTCACAGTGTAAGGGGTAAAATGTAAGGATAAATCTCAGGCAGAACATCCCAGAGAACTCATGTGAGTATGTTATCTCCCCTAAAAAAAACTAAACATACAAAAACAGCTTTGGCCCTCAGAAGTATAGGAAGATGCTTCAAGTATCTGGAGATGGGATATATTTAAAAGGAAAGATTCCAACTCTTTATTTTTTGAAATGCATATGGTTCCCCAGAAGATTAACGTTTTAATTCATTGTGCTTCCTTTATTCTATAGGCATATAAAGGGAAAATCTATTTGCCATAATGTGATATATCCAAATAATGGAATGGTACTTAGCAATAAAAGGAACAAACTGCTGATACATGCTACGATATGAATAAACCTCAAAATATGCTAAATGAAATCCAGATGCAAAGGACTACGTGTTTAAACTAAAAAGTCCAGAGACGGTGTCATGGGTTGAATTATGTCCCCCCAAAAATGCATGCATCAGTTTGGCTGGGCCATGATTCCCAGTATTGTGTGGTTGTCCTCCATTTTGTGATTGTAATTTTATGTTAAAGAGGATTAGGATGGGATTGTATAACACCCTTACTAAGGTCACATCCCTGATCCAATGTAAAGGGAGTGTCCCTGGGGTGTGGCCTGCACCACCTTTTCTCTCTCAAGAGATAAGAGGAAAGGGAAGCAAGCAGAGAATTGGGGACCTCATACCACCAAGAAAGCAGTGCCAGGAGCAGAGTGTGTCCTTTGAACCCAGGGTCCCTGCATGGAGAAGCTCCTAGTCTGGGGGAACATTGATGAGAAGGCCAACAGAGAGAGAAAGACTTCCCCTGGAGCTGATGCCCTGAATTTGGATTTTAGCCTATTTTACTATGAAGAAATAAATTTCTCTTTGTTAAAGCCATCCACTTGTGGTATTTCTATTATGGCAGCACTAGATGACTAAGACAGATGGCAAATCTACAGGGACAGAAAACAGCTGAGCAGTTACCAGATGATAGGGGTGGGATCAAGTATTGATTGCAAATGGGCATGAGGAATGTTTCTGAAGTGATGGAAATATTCTAAAGAAGAATTTGTTCATGGTTTAATAACTCAATACATTTACTAAGAATCTTTCAATTGTACACTTACAATGGGTGGATTTTAAGGTATGTAAACTATACTTCAAAAAATATGTTTTAAAAAAAAAGCTAAGGAAAAGATCCATCGGAAGGAAATGAAATTATTGTTCAATTAGCAATAGAAAGAACAAAGAACGGCAAAAGTGAAGCAAAGAAAATCTAAAATTTCCTGAATTTCCAAACATATTTCATGACTGCAAATCATAGTCATAATATTAACGCCAAGAAAAAAAAAGTATTTTAACTTTCACACTGTCCAGTTCCTCCATTAAGTTTTATAGGTTTGTCCGTACATCCTTCCCCAGCCAACACAAACACATGAACACACACACACACACACACACACACACACACACGCATATCTGTATACATACAAATCCCTTGTTCAGGTATTATACAGCCTAGCCTCACATTTGCCACTCCTCAGAGGGAAAAAATTAAACATTTAAAATTAAATTTCAAATTAAACATATTATTATATATGTGAGAAGTTTTATTATAATATGTATATATATAAAATCATATTATTGTGATGACTGCACTAAAAATGAGGCAAGGTCAGCAAGCCCTACCTTTATCACTAACTGCATAGCAAGGATTCCAGCTGGAAATAGATCCAGGTTTCACTTTACCACATTTCCATTCCTTATAGCCAGCCACTTTCATGGCACTTCCTCTCTCTGATCCTAAACACCAGAGTTAGATCAAACTTTATCCTCAGTCGGCCACCCTGAGCCAGGTCAAAACACTCCCGGCCACCTGAAGCCAAGTCATCAGAGACTAGCCATCTGCACAACTCCCTGCACTTCAGAGCAATTGACTGCCTCCCCGGTCCCCTCCACCTCCTCTCTCTAGTACCCTGGGATTAGGTCACAAGCTAGAAGGCCTCTATCCTTCTTCACCGACTGCCCATGCAGATTTTCCCTGACTATCAATGTCATGGATTGAATTATATCCCCCCAAAAATGTGTGTATCAATTTGGCTGGGCCATGATTCCCAATATTGTGTGGTTGTCCTCCATTTTGTGATTGCAACTTTATGTTAAAGAGGATTAGGGCAGGACTGTAACACCCTTACTAAGGTCACATCCCTGATCCAATGTAAAGGGGGTTTCCCTGGAGTGTGTTATAAGAGATAGAAGGAAAGGGAAGCAAGCAGAGAGTTGGGGACCTCATACCACCAAGAAAGCAATGCTAGGAGCAGAGTGTGTCTTATGGAACTGAGGTTCCTGCACTGAGATGCTCCCAGACCAAGGGAAGACTGATGACAAGGACCTTCCTCCACAGCCGACAGAGAAAGCCTGACGCCCTGAATTTGGACTTGTAACCTACTAGACTGTGAAAGAATAAATTTCTCTTTGTTGAAGCCATCCACTTGTAGCACTTCTTTGTAGCAGCACTAGACAACTAAGACAATCAGTCACCCAGAGCTGGGTCTAGACAAATCAACTCTGTCTTGCTAGCCCCTGCTGGCTCATCGCCCCCTGTGGGTTCATTCATTCTCTAGAATGGCTCACAAAATTCACAGAAAACTATTACTTAAGGGGGGCCTGGTGGTGCAGTGATTAAGCACTCAGCTGCTAACTGAAAGGTCAGGGGTTCAAACCCACCAGCTGCTCCACTGGAGAAAGATGTGGCAGTCTACTTCAGTAAAGATTACAGCCTTGGAAACCCTATGGGGTAGTTCTACTCTGACCTACAGGGTTGCTATGAGTCAGATTGATTCAATGGCACACAACAACTATTAACTATACTTACAGTTGCCCATTTATTTTAACTAAGGATACAAGCAAAGAGGCGCATCTGGAAAGGTCTGGGAGAGGTCATAACACAAGGCTTCCATTGTCGCCAGGGATGTGCCACACCCTCTCCCTTGCATGGTGTTCTCACCAATCCCACAAGCCTAAAAAGAGGAAGCTCCAAGTTTCAGAGTGCTTTAGTCATTGGGACATCATTCATATGCATGACTAGCACCTTAAAGCATAGTTATGATCAATCCAATCAGTGAATATGAGGCCTGGTGCCAGAGTGGGGCTTGTGTAGCCCCCTACTTACTTACACATGTTTAAGTGTAGCCTAAGGAGCCCTGGTAGCACCAGTTAAGAGCTTGGCTGCTAACTCAAAATTTGGAGGTTTGAACTCACCCAGCAATCTGTTCCCAGAAAGATTGTTGTTATTATTGTTAGGTGCCATTGAGTTGGTTGCAACTCATAGTGACCCTATGTACAACACAATGAAACACTGCCTGGTCCTGTGCTATCCTCACAATCACTGCTATGTTCCAGCCCATTGTTGTAGCCATCTTGTTGAGGATCTTCCTCTTTTTTTGCTGACCCTCTACTTTACCAAGTATGGTGTCCCTCTCCAAGGATTTCATTTCACTTGGGTCCACGATCAACACCCATGAAAACAGCAGTCAAGAAATCAAATGACATATTGCATTGGACAAATCTGCTGCAAAAGACCTCTTTAACCACCCACCTATGGTCACCTGGTCTTCAACAAGGGCCCAAAGTCCATCAGACGGGGAACAGGCAATCTTTTTAACAAATGGTGCTGGAAAAACTGGATGTCCATCTGCAAAAAAATGAAACAGGACCCATACCTCACACTATATTCAAAAACTAATTCAAAATGGATCAAAGACCTAAATATAAAGCCAAAAACTATAAAGTTCATAGAAGAAAAAATAGGATCAAAGCTAGAGGCCCTAATACACAGCATTAACAGGATACAAACCATAACCAACAACACACAAACTGCAGAAGATAAGGTAGATAACTGAGCTCTTCTAAAAATTAAACACTTATGCTCATCAAAAGACTTCACCAAAAGAGTAAAAAGAGAACCTGCAGACAAGGAAAAATTTTTTGGATATTACAAGTCAGACAAAGGTCTAATCTCTAAAATCTACAAGAATATCCAACACCTCTACAACAAAAAGATAAATAATCCAATTAAAGAAAGGGGAAAAGAAATGAACAGACAGTTCACCAAAGATGACATTCAAGCAGCCAACTGACACTTGAGGAAATGCTTTGATCACTAGCCATTAGAGAAATGCAAATCAAAGATACCATCTCGTCCCGGCATTACTGGCACGAATCAAAAACACTGGAAATAACAAATGTTGGAGAGACTGCGCGGAGATCAGAACTCTTATGCACTGCTGGTGGGAATGCAAAATGATACAACCATTTTGGAAAATGATATGGCGCTTCCTTAGAAAGCTAGAAATAGAAATACCATAAGATCCAGCAATCCCACTCCTAGGAATATATCCTAGAGAAATAAGAGCCGTCACACGAATAGACATATGCATGCCATATTCATTGCAGCACTGTTCACCATAGCAAAAATATGGAAACAACCTAGATGCCAATCAACAGATGAATGGATAAACAAACTACGGTACATACACACAATGGAGTATTATGCAATGATAAAGAACAATGATGAATCTGTGAAGTATCTCATAACATGGATGAAACTGGAGGACATTATGCTGAGTGAAATAAGTCAATTACAAAAGGACAAATATTGTATGAGACCACTACTGTAAAAACTCATGAAAAGATTTACACACACACGAAAAACAATCTTTGTTGGTTACGAGGGATAGGCGGTGTCGGGGCAGGGGTGGAAATACTAGACCATAGATAAGTGGTAAGTTTGGTGAAGGGTAAGACAGTACACAATATTGGGGAAGCCAGCACAACTGGTACAAGGAAAGGTCATGGAAGCTCCATAGACACATTCAACTCCCTGAGGGACCAAATTGCTGGGCAGAGGGCTGTGGGGACCATGGTCTCTGGGAACATCTAGCTCAACTGGCATAACACAGTTTATAAAGAAAAATATTCTACATTCTACCTTGGTGAGCAGCATCTGGGGTCTTAAAAGCCTGTGAGCAGCTATCTAAGATACTCCACTGGTCTCACCCCTTCAGCAGCAAGGGAGAATGAAGAAAACAAGATACAAGGGAAAGATCAGTCCAAAGGACTAATGGACCACAACTACCAGTGCCTCCACCAGACTGAGTCCAACACAACCAGACGGTGCCCAGCTATCACCACTGACTGCTCTGAAAGGGATCACAACAGAGGGTCCTGGACAGAGCTGGAGAAAAACGTAAAACAAAATTCTAAGTTACAAAAAAAGACCAGACTTACTGACCTGACAGAGACTGGAGAAACCCCAAGAGTATGGCTCCCGGACACCGTTTTAGCTCAGTAATGAAGTCACTCCCGAGGTTCACTGTTCAGCCAAAGATGAGACAGCCCCACAGAACACAGCGAGACTAATGGGGCACAACAATCCAGGGAAAAGGACTAGAAGGCAGGAGGGGACAGGAAAGCTGGTAATAGGGAACCCAAGGTTGAGAAGGGAAAGTGTTGACATGTCGTGGGGTTGTTAACCATTGTCATAAAACAATATGTGTACTAACTGTTCAATGAGAAACTATTTGTTCTGTAAACCTTCATCTAAAGTACAATTAAAAAAAAATTGTTTTGACCCATTGGCAGCGAGCCAAACTAGAAGGACAGATTCATGTGGTGGGCTTCAGACTGACAGTAAGTAAAAGATATTTGAAAATATAATATCTAATTTCACGTGACTGAAAAAAACAATCTCTTTGAAGTGTTAAAAGCAAAGATGTCACTTTGAGGACAAAGGTGGTCCTGACTAAAGCCATGGTATTTTCAGTCACCTTCATATGCATGTGAAAGCTGGACAATGAATAAGGAAGACCAAAGAAGAATTGATGCCTTTGGATTATGGTGTTGGTTAAGAATATTGAATACCCCATGGACTGCCAGAAGAATGAACAAATTTGTCTTGGAGGAAGCACAGCCAGAATGGTCCTCAAGAGTGAAGATTGCAAGACTTCATCTCACATACTTTGGACCCATAAAGATTACAGCCTAGAAAACCCTATGGGCAATTTTACTCTGTCACAGGGGGTCACTATGAGTAGGAATTGACTTTACAAATTGCAACAAGTGTAGCCTGGCTATTTTAGAAAGACAAAGAGCACCTTAAGTGCTCGAGCTACTTTCAGAAACCATATACAAAAGGTCAAATTGAGTTCTTTGTCCCACAGTTATCAAAGAAGTTATGTTTTTATTTTAAAAAATTCCAAAAACAAATGTGCATGTGTTTGCCTGTGACTAAACCTAGTAAAGACATGTCTGAAAAACGTTCAGCACTAGGTTACAGATAACGGCAGCAAATAGAATAAATCCATATGAGGTATGGATACAATGAAACTCCAGGATCAAATTTTTACACTGCCTTTCATAAATTAATAATAACGGGCACTTTCCCTTGCCATTCATACACTGAATTATCTCCATCACACCTGAAATGAATGGCAATGAAGGACACTGCAGGGCGAAAGGAATTTCTTAATGCCACCACCAGGAAGAAAGCCCAATGACCCAGAAAGGAAGGAAACTTAGTCTCTTTGTTTTTCTCGAATCTCACATGTAGGGGCTCCATTCCAAGTCTTACCTGCATCGTATCTACTGATGACCACTGCATCCTATGCTCCACATCTGAGATGAGATCGCTCAGATCCTGGTACTGCTGGATCAGCTGGTATTTAACCTCTGCCAGATTATCCAGAACATTCACCTCTTCTTCCTCCAGCTTCTGCAGCTCCCTCTTCTTATCATTGTCCAGGATGGCATGCAAGTCATTAAAACCTGCCAGAATCCTTTGTCTCTCAGTCTGTGTCTGATGCTTTGGAAACAGGGAAGAGAAAGAGGCAGTCAGTCTGGCTGAAGATCTACTTTGCAAGGTGCTGGGAGCCAGAACAAGAACCGTTTTCTTCAGGGAGTTCTCACTAGGAGGGTATGTGAAAGCCAGAGAGCAATTCCAGGGGAAGCTGTTTGTTTCTACTATTTTCTCTTGAGCTCATTCCAAAACACCATCCTCAGGTCTGCTTTATCAAGGCACACTCAGAGCCAAAATGTAATACTTCGCTGAGGCTTAAATTGCAGATACCTGTCACGGACACTCATGCCAATCAATGTATTAAAACACTCCTCCCCAAACCCCATGTTTGATCCCAAAGCTGGGAACCCTGGACCTTTGCCCGACATCTTCCCTGCACATATCAGAGCCTCAAACCTGACAACAGGAATGGGATGCAAGATTCATAAGCCATTTTTACAATTGTTTCCCTCATAGTCTTCATCTCCAAATATTTTATTTCACTTGTGGTATGTCCACTTTCCAGCCCCCCACCTCCAACATGGAAAGGATGAATGACTGATCAAACAGCTTCTGTACTCATTAATTCTAAAATAGTAAAGAGGAAGGAGCCTCCATTTGACTAGAACCCAAGTTGCTGCCCAGAGTCATGTCTCAGAACTCCCTCAGGAAGAGTTCCTCTTGCCTTCCAAGAAGCTCTCTCTTCAATAATCTGAGCTTCCAACTTCTCAGCTTCCTGCTGCTCCTTCCTCAGCCTTGTGAGAGTCTCCTGGAGCTTCTCCTATGAGACAGAATCACACCAGAGCATTCTCAGCACCTGAACAGAGGACAGATTGGTGCAGAAATCAGGCTGATCTCAGAAGAGACCAGAGTTTACAGAAACTGTGAGACTGGCAATTAGAATCTATGACTTAGACAAAAATCTGAGGAGGTGAATGTATTCTTCATTCCTGAGTGGTGGAAGTCACTATCTCCTCATTAAGAGTCTGATTCTCCACTGGGTTTATGTTAATGGTGGTGGGATGACTTGGAAAAGGATAGCAAGAATGGTGGCACAACTTGAAGAATGTAATCAATGTCATTGAATTACTCATGTAGAAACTGTTGAGGTGGTATATGTTTTGTTATGTATATGTTCACAATAATAAAAAAAGAGTAATCTGATTCTCTTTTGTCCTAGGGAAGAATTAATCCTGCAGCAAGAAAAATCCTTTCTTCTCATTGACATTCTTCCTCACATCTGATCAACCATGTCCCCTAGCAGTTCTTCTGCTCAGGGAGTCAATAAGAACGTATCTTGGGAAGCAATTCTCCACTCATTCAACAAAAGGAAAACAAAACAAAACATATTTCTCGTCTCTTGGCCAACTGCCTGCAGTTAGGCTTACCCTTTATGTAAATGGAAGGATTGCACAGAAATGTTCTCCAGGGCTTGGAATCTAAGCATAGAGTATGGGAAGCTATCGCAGGACTTAATTCTATGGTGAAAAGGTAAGTAAAGAAGGAGAGAAAGTAGAGATTTCTGAGTGCCACCTTCTTCCCTGTCTTTCTCTACCCTGAGCCTTACCTGACATTCCTTGACCACCTCCTCCACAAGGAATGTTTGGTGACCACAGTGCTCCTGAGACCGCACACAAAGCCAGCAAATGACCTTCTCATCATTTTTACAGAACAACAGGAGTTTTTCTCCATGGTGCACACAGCGATCACTCTTTTGCCCCTCCTGTGGGCTCAACTTGGCCTCCCTGAATCCCTTCACTATTTTGGCCAGATGCTGATTAGGCCATAGGTTCCCAGGCTGGTAGCTGGCATGGCACACAGGACAGCTTTTTTGCCCTCCTGGGCTGATGACGGTCTGTAACTCCACATTCTTTGCAGTGATGCAGGCTTGGCAAAAGCTATGGCCACAGTTCAGGCTCAGGGGTTTCGTCAGGAGCTCCAGGCAGATGGGGCAGGTCACCTCCTTCTCTATGTTTGCCTGGACTGAAGCCATTGCACTGCTTTCCTAGCCTCTCCCAGTCCTGGCTCCTGAGTCTCTTCTTGCTCACAGACACCTACAGGGTTAGGAATACACAAGTCAGCGGTGTAAGGAATGCAGGGGTTGGAAGGATACTGACTGTGCAGAGATTTAGGACAGGATAAAACAATATAATGAAGAAACATAAGAAAGAGATGAGAAGAGTAGGTCAGTGACAGAATGAAAGGTCTTCTAATAATTTCAAACACTTACTCTCAGTTTATCTCACAGGACAAATTCCACCCTTATCTGGACAATGATTGCTATTTTCTCTTCTTCCACTGGACAGAAGGATAAACTGAGGCCCTATCGATCAAAAGAGCCTTGTGTAACCCATCTGCCTTTTCTTCCCCATCTCAAAACACAGGCTTCATGTTATACACACTAAACTCACCACTACCCCCAGGCCTTTGCACTTTCTCTTCTCTCTGCAGGAATTGATCCAACCCCTGATATGCATATGACTCACTCTTCTTTTTTTAAAGAGCTTCATTAAATTGTAATTCACATCCCACCAAATGCACTCATTTAAGTATACAATTCAATTAGTAAGTTTGTGGAGCTGAATAACCTTCACCACAATCCAACTGCAGAACATTTCTATCATCAGAACACAAAGTTAGTGCCAATGAGCAGTTTATTCCCCATTCTGACCCCTAGCCCCAATCATTAACTTCCTTTTCATCTTTATAGATTTAAATTTTATAGAACGTCTGATCAATTCATAAAAATAGAATCATAATATGTGGTCTTTTGCGTCTGCTTTCTTTCACTTAGCCTACTGTTTCTGAGGTTCATCCACCCTGTCTTTTTTTTCCCACACCAGAAAACCATCCTCAGGGTTAAAAGCACCAAACCCACTGTTGTCTATTGGTTTTTGCATTTGCTTTTCTCGCTTCATGGAATGATCTACTGCCTGATACTTGCATGACTCATGTTTATACTTCATTCAACTTTCTCCTTACATGTCCTCTTGTCAGAACGACCTGTTGTGGCTAAGTTACACCCACAACCACCACTCATTATACATTTGCCATCTTCTTCTTATTTTCACTATATAACATATGACACTTTTAGTTAAAGTTGTGCCTCCTCCTGGTAAAAAGTACTCCACTCATAGATCATGCACTTTATTTTTGTTCACTGGAAAGAGATTTTCTGCTGGTCTCTGACAAAAAGAGTATTCTGGCTCCTTTTGGCATAGTGGAATTTCAAAAGAAAAGGAAGGAGATGGGTATGGTTTCAGCCTGGAAAAATAATGCTCCCTACAAGGAGCCCTGGTGGTGCAGTGGTTAAGAGCTACAGGCTGCTAACCAAAAGTTTGGCAGTTCAAATCCACCAGTCGCTGCTTGGAAACCCTATGGAGCAGTTCTACTCTGTCCTATAGGGTTACCATGAGTCGGAATCAACCCAACAGAAATGGGGCCAGGAAACAAACAAGGCCCTTTGCTTTTCCAAACCCCTCTTCATTAAAGGCTGCCCTTCCCCCAGATTCATAGCCCCTGCAAGAAGCCAGCAAACTGGTTCTATTTTTTTCAATTCAAAGCAGCTTCCGGACCCTAAATTAAACTCAGCCAAGTACAATCAACCTTTTTCCCACTCTTTGCCCCTCACACGCCTTCAGTTTCGAGCAGCCAAGTTGTGACCCCGTGTGGAAGAACGGAGGCGGGTCGGGGACAGGATGGTCCAGATTTACTCACCAAACCAGGGGCTTGATGTCCACGAAGCAGAGAAATGAAAGTTAAATTATTGAAAACAGGAAGCTGAAGAGAAACTTAAGAGTACAATGGGAAGCCACTCCCCAGGAGTCCGGGGGAGGGTTAGTCTTTAACACTTTCTGGTGCATGGGCAGGTAGGTGCCCAGTGACTACATTTTTATTCCTACCGTAGTTGTACTCTGGCAAAAATATCTGAATAAGAAGAATGTAAATTACAATTATATCACCCCAAACAGTTTGCCTGAGAACTCAGAATGTCAATTTTTTGTATTCTTAGCTATCCTATATTCAGGCCTTCCAAGTCACTAAGGATAAAATACTGACCCAGAAAGGCTTGGCACCTGACCACTTATAATACAGTCTTCTGGAGGAGATAATCAGCTTGAAAAAAAAAAAAATTAGTCCATAATATCTATGAATCTTGCAAGTCCATCTGTTAATAACCAGGCAGGACAGAAGAGGAAGAATTTCATGGACTAATACAGGTTGAGTTTAATTGTTGTCATGCTACCCAGCAACTGAGGCAGGTGAGAACACAGCAGTTAATAGATAGTGCTGTTCAAATGTAATCTTTCACTGAGTCACAGTCATACCTACAAGGCTTTTTCTTTTTCCTCTTTTCTTTGCATCCTTAGGGAAAAGTTTGGTATGTACACCATCATTCAAAAAATAGAAATGAGTCGCTTTACATTTTTTGCACATGCTTTTGTGCCCTGACTCTATCCTGTTCTTGTTCTGACTGCATGCTTCAACGGTGCAGCTGCAAGATGGTAGAACCTCCGTAACATGGGTTCCTGACTGACACGGTGGGACCAGGAATCTTCCCGCTTTAACTGACACGAGAGACAGAAGGTACAGAGAAATCAATTTTTATAACATTAAAGCAGAGATATTTTGGTATTGTTCATTACCCACAGAAAAATCAGTTAATCCTGGCTTATAAAATTTTTTGACTCATATCTATGAGTCAGGAACTCATAACCATATTGGAATAATTGCCACAGTTTTATTTTGTATAGGTGGAGTTTGTTCTACCAGCTACGAAACTCATGTTGTTTAAGTTTAGTGATTTTCATCTCCATGTTGTTCAAACTGTATTTTTTTAATTGTACTTTAGATGAAGGTTTACAGAGCAAATTAGTTTCTCATTTAACAATTAATACACATATTATTTTGTGACATTGGTTGCCGACTCCACGACATGTCAACACTCTCCCCATCTCAACACTGGGTTCCCCGTTACCAGCTTTCCTGTCCCCTCCTGTCTTCTTGTCCTTGCCCCTGAGCTGGGGTGCCCATTTAGTTTTATGGGCCTTTCTAATCTTTGGCTTAAGGGTGAACCTCAGGAGTGACTTCAGCACTGAGTTAAAAATGTGTCCGGGGGCCATACTCTTGGGGTTTCTCCACTCTCTGTCAGGCCAGTAAGTCCGGTCTTTTTGTGTGAGTTAGAATTTTGTTCTACATTTTTCTCCAGCTCTGTCCTGGACCCTCTATTGTGATCCCTCTCAGAGCAGTCGGTGGTGGTAGCCGGGCACCATCTAGTTGTGTTGGACTCAGTCTGGTGGGGGCTGTGGTAGTTGTGGTTCATTAGTCCTTTGGATTAATCTTTTCCTCGTGTCTTTGGTTTTCTTCATTCTCCCTTGCTCCAGACGGGGTGGGACCAGTGCAGTATCTTAGATGGCCACTCACGAGCTTTTAAGACCCCAGACACTACTCACCAAAGTAAGATGTAGAACATTTTCTTCATACACTGTGTTATGCCGGTTGAACTACATGTTCCCTGAGACAATGGTCTCCAGCCCTCAACCTGGTAATTTGCTCCCTCAGAGAATTTGGATGTGTCTATGAAGCGTCCATGACTTTGCCTTGCTCAAGTTGTGCTGACTTCCCCAGAATTGTGTACTGTCTTACCTTTACCAAGTTACCACTCATCTATTGTCTGGTTAGTGTTTTTCCCTTCCCATCTCTTCCCTCCCTAGTAACCATCAAAGATTGTTTCCTTCTGTGTGTAAACCTTTTCATGAGTTTTTATAATAGTGGCCTCATACAGTATTTATCCTTTTGTGATTGACTTATTACACTCAGCATAATGCCCTCCAGATTCATCCATGTTGTGAGATGTTTCATAGATTCATCGTTTTTCTTTATCATTGTGTAGTACTCCATTGTGTGTACGTACCATAGCTTGTTTATCCATTCATCTGTTGATGAGCACTTACATTGTTTCCATCTTTTTGCTATTGTGAATAATGCTGCAATGGACATGGGTATGCATATGTCTGTTTGTGTGATGACTCTTATTTCTCTAGGATATATTCTTAGGAGTGGGATTGCTGGATCCTATGTTGTTGTTGTTGTTTAACTGTGCTTTAGGTGAAAGTTTACAGCTTAAGTTAATTTCTATTAAAAAATTTATACACGTTGTTTTATGACATTAGTTGCAGTTCCCACAATGTGACAGCACACTCCTCCTTTCCACCCAGGCTTCCCTGTGTCCTCCTCATCCTGCTTTGGGACAGCAGCTGCCCATTTGGTTTCGTATATCTGATTGAACTAAGAAGCACATTCCTCACATGTATTATTTTTTGTTTTATAGTCCTGTCTAATCTTTATCTGGAAAGTGGCCTTTCCTATGGTATTTCTGTTTCTAGCTTTTTAAGGAAATGCCATATCATTTTCCAAAATGGTTATACCATTTTACATTCTCACCAGCAGTGCATAAGAGTTCCAAGTTCCCTGAAGCCTCTGCAACATTCGTTATTTTCTGTTTTTTTTTTTTTTTTTGGATTCGTGCCAATAAAGTTGGGGTGAGATGGTATCCCATTGTCATTTTGATTTGCATTTCTCTTACAGCTAGTGACAGGCCAAAGATGAAGAAACTGAATATTTTTTACCAAATTCTGAAGTCTGAAATTGATCAAACATGCAATCAGAATGCACTGATAATTACTGGTGACTGGAATTGGAACTCTGGAAACAAAGAAGAAGGATCGGTAGTTGGAAAATAGGGCCTTGGTGATAGAAATGATGCCGGAGATTGCACACCTCTTCTTTGAAAATACCTTTTTCAACAACACAAACAGTGACTATACATGTGGACCTCGCCAGATGGAATACACAGGAATCAAATTGACTACATCTGTGGAAAGAGGCAATGGAAAAGCTCAATATCATCAGTTAGAACAAGGCCAGGGGCCAACTGTGGAACAGAACATCAATCGCTCATGCAAGTTCAAGCTGAAACTGAAGAAAATTAGAACAAGTCCACGAGAGCCAAGTACAACCTTGAGCACATCCCACCTGAATTTAGAGACCATTTCAAGAATAGATTTGACACATTGAACACTAATGATGGAAGACCAGATGAATTGTGGAATGACATCAAGGGCATCATATATGAAGAAAGCAAGAGGTCATTAAAAAGACAGGAAAGAAAGAAAAGACTGAAACGGATGTCAGAAGAGACCCTGAAACTTGCTCTTGAACATCAAGTAGCTAAAGCGAAAGGAATAAATGTTGAAGTCAAAGAGCTGACTAGAAGATTTCAAAGGGCGGCTAGAGAAGACAAAGTAAAGTATTATAATGACATGTGCAAAGACCTGGAGGTAGAAAACCAAAAGGGAAGAACACACTTGGCATTTCTTAAGATGAAAGAACTGAAGAAAAAATTCAGCCCTAGAGTTGCAATATTTAAAGATTCTACTGGGAAAAAAACAATGCTGGAAGCATTAAAAGAAGATGGAAGCAATACACAGTCACTATAGCAAAAAGAATTGGTCAATGTTCAACCATTTTAGGAGGTAGCATACAATCAGGAACCAATGGTACTGAAGGAAGAAGTCCAAGCTGCACTGAAGGCACTGGCAAAAAACAGGGCTCCAGGAATTGACAGAATACCAAGTGAGATGTTTTGACAAATGGATGCAGCACTGGAGTGCTCACTCATCTATGCAAAGAAATTTGGAAGACAGCTACCTGGCCAACTGACTGGAAGAGATCCATATTTTTGCCTAGTCCCAAGAAAGGTGATCCTACTGAATGTGGAAATTATCAAACAATACCATTAATATCACATGCAAGTAAATTTTTGCTGAAGATCATTCAAAAGCGGCTGCAACAGTATATCGACAGGGAACTGCCAGAAATTAAAGCTGGATTAAGAAGAGGATGTGAAACCAGGGATATCACTGCTGATGTCAGATGGATCTTGGCTGAAAGCAGAGACTACTAGAAAGATGTTTACCTGTGTTTTATTGACTATGCGAAGGCATTAGACTGTGTGGATCATAGCAAATTACGGATAACATTGTGAAGAATGGGAGCTCCAAAACACTTAATTGTGCTCATGAGGAACCTGTATATAGATCAAGAGGCAGTTGTTCAACCAGAACCAGGGAATACTGCATGGTTTCCAGTCGGGAAAGATGTGTGTCAGGGTTGTATCCTTTCACCACATTTATTCAATCTGTATGCTGAGCAAATAATCCAAGAAGCTGGACTATATGAAGAAGAATGGAGCATCAGGATGGGAGGAAGACTCATTAACAACATGCGTTATGCAGATGACACAACCTTGCTTGCTGAAAGTGAAGAGGACTTGAAACACTTACTAATGAAGATCAAAG